GAAGACTGAAGAAGAATTGATGTCTTTGAATTATGATGTTGGCAAAGAATATTGAATATACCATGGACTGCCAAAAGAATGAACAAATCAGTCTTGGAAGAAGTACAGCCAGAATGCGCCTTAGAAGTGAGGATGGCGAGACTTCATCTCATGTACTTTGCACATGTTATCAGGAGGGACCAGTCCCCAGAGAAGCACATCATGCTTGGTAAAGTAGAGGGTCAGAGAAAAAGAGAAGGACCCTCAAGGAGATGGATTGACACAGTGACTGCAACAAAGGGCTGAAGCATAATGATTGTGAGGATGGCGCAGGACCGGTCAGTGTTTTTGCTCTGTTGTACATGGGGTCGCTATGAGTCAGAAGCGACTTGATGGCACCTAACGACAACAACAACAATTGTAGAATGAAAGATTTTATCTCCTGTTAATAATCTCAATAAACAGATGAGGGAAGAGCTTTTGCTTATAGATCCTTAAGATGAAAAAAATATACATATGAAGGGGTTGTTTCTTTTTATATTCCTAAAAATACTGTGAATCTCTTCTGAAATTACTACTTAATTTCTACTGACTAGTGCTACAGTGCTCACAAGTCTGTTATCCACTGAGCAGTTCAGCTGTGTGAACCGAGTCCAGTTTCCAGTTGTTTACCCAAGTCACATGCTCAGTCAAGTCTGAACACCAGTGGTGGGCACATTGTTAATTAAGTGCCCACAAGGGCTCCAACAGGTCAGATCTCCCTGAGCCTTTTAATTCCAAACAGTCCCTGCTATGAGGAAGCTATTCAGCAATGTTTTTAAAAATAAAAGTCCCTAATACCTAGTTATCTGGCTGAATTAAACAGAATCTCCATGATTTTCTTCATCTTCTTTCATATAAATGCCCAACAAACTGGCAACAGTTAAGGTCCTAAGCACGCAGAAACTTCAAACTGATTATCTTTAAATTAATGTTCAACATTTATATAGACCTGGGGGAAGCTGATTTTCTACTATTTTTTAAAAAGTATACATAGATTTGGATTCACTCACCTGTTTATAAACAAACTTCTCTTTAGCTGTTCAAAGTCCATACACAGACATACACATTCATATATATATGTATGTATATTTGTATTATATATATATATATATATATAAACACATACGCATGTATATCTGTAGTTCTTTTTCTATAGTTTATGTGTGCATGTGATTTTTGTTAAACCAGACAGCTGGTGGTATACTAGAAGGCTTAAAAATAAATAAGTTAATAGACTCCAGAAAATTGTACCATGATATGCATTATTTAAGTTTCAGAATTTCAGCTGAGGCAGTACGTGCACATTGCCAAAATTCTCCACAGAGCGAGGTCAGCACTTGTGGGGAGGGTGTTTATTTCCCTTCAGGGCCCATCTGCTGTGGGAACAGGGCCAATTTACATTTCCCAGTAAGTAATAGTAGAGTGTGGAAACCTAAGTTAACTGGCATCATTGATGCTTTGGTGCCCCTTATAGATTGTTCCTCTGGATAGTTGCCTGGCATTCTCGAACAATGACCTGGCTCAGAATACATTCTTCTATCCTTTATGAAGGAGCCAAATCATGTATAAAAGGAGCAGATGGCATGTGCTTTGGTATAGAGTTCTTATGGTGCCAAGGCTATATATAACCTTTTGTGTTTGGAGATCAAAGTGGGGTAGGTGAGAAATGCCTATTTGGCTAGTCTAAGCAAGTGGCATAAAGGTTACCTAAACCTTTTTCTCTCCTAGGTACGTAAAGTATTCTGCATTTGTAGGATCGTGGTGGGACCCAGGAGACAGAGGCTAACAATCTCGGAGTTGTTATGAAATCAGTAGTGTGAGGAAGTTGAGAACAATGCCAAGGGAGTAGTTGAAGTGATTACCGTAGATGCTGTGCTAGGAGCAGGTGGCATATGAAGAAAAAAAGGAGAGGGGGGCCGCGGAGGGACTGGTGGCCTGGATGAGGTTGAAGAGCACCTGTTGTAGGAGAAGGGGTGTATAAAAGTTGGACAAAATGGGACCAGTGGCACAGGGGACTTTCTGGTATGATTCCACAGGTGGAGTGATGACAAAATCCTGAGTAGAGCTGTGGCAGAGTTGTCCCAATAGGACGGGCATGAAGGTCCCAAGAGTTGTAGAGTAAAGGAAATTCAAGGCTAGGGTATTGAGTAGTCTATCAGTGTGGATATTGAAATTACCTAAGATGATGGGACACTGAGGATAGAGAGGAAAACTGTGAACCATATGCATTCTTCAATGTCAGGGAGTAAAGGGGAAGAATATAGATAACAGCAATGAGGGAAGGTATTGCAGACAGTAGGCCCCTCCAGAGAAAGAAGGCTGTTAGTATAGTGTGAAGGGAAAGAGTAATGATCTGTAAGTGGCAAAGAGGCGCTAAGCCCAGCCCTTCTCCCATCTTTCAGGTGAGGACTAAGAGAATGAGCAGCCTCCCCTGGGAGGGCAACAGGGGAAGCAGGATCCTGGGGCAGAGCCAAGTTTGGGTAAGACCAGGAGATGGAGCATTTTGTGAAGAAGTTAAGGAATGTTTTTTTACAGTGGAATGGGGATACTAGTCAGCAAAGTACAGAGAATTGAGGAGAGGTCAGCAGTGGGAGAAGGGGAGTTTTCCAAAGAGACACAGAAAAATACGGAGATTAGAATCCTAAGGTGGCAAAGGATACAAGCCATTTGCTTTGGTTGAGGGTACCAGGAATAAGAGGTATAGGAAATAAATGGAGCAGATGCTCCAAGCAGGCATAAGCTGAGGCTCCAGGCAATATAGACTATCTGATGGTAGCAATTAGAGACCTGCTCTTTTGTGCTAAGGCCAGCTGAGACTCAGGGAATGTCAAAGACCAGGCAACCTGGTCTTATCTGGTTCCCATGTACTAGTTAAAAGGGTAATGTAATTTTTGCCCCAGCTCTGTTTTGGACTGCATTGGCTCATGGGCCACATTTGGAAGAACCTGACCTAATGGTCCTCCAAAGTCTTTTTAGTTTAAACTGTTAATCTGTTTCAAATTATTATCACCAAAATTTGTATTACTATCACTAATTAGTTCTTGGATTTTAAGAACAAGTATTGGAGTATTTATTGGAAGTGTACAATAATTATTATTCAAAATTCAACACAACTTTCCATCATTCTTCAATAGATTTCTTTGTTTTTAGTTTTTCTTTAAAAATAAAAAAAAGTAACTGAATTACATGAAAACAGAAGGTTATGTTTCCAGCACAGAATGAGTGTTTTGACACTCAATATATGATGCAAGACTCAAATGCTATCTTAGGATTTTAGCCTTAACAAAAATCATAAATAAAGCTTCCCCACAACCCTACTTTTCTCTGTCACAGATGCAAAAGTAAAAATGAGTAACTGAACACTTTTAGCTGACACCTACAACATTTTGATGCTTAGTGGATTTTTAAATTGCTCAGTAAAAACTACTGCTAATGCTACCTACTTTATGCTGTTGGCCTCTAACAGCACAATGGAAATTTGGGAACTTGTAGGAAAAAGTGACATTTGAGATACTAAATATGCCTACCTAATAGTATATGTCAAGGGGATTGAAAATTTGAGTTAGTAATGTTTTCATTTAAAATGTCCAGGTCTTATGGTCTCAGGGAACATCTAGCTCAATTGGCATAACATAGTTTATAAAGAAAATGTTCTGCATTCTACTTTGGTGAGTAGCATCTGGGGTCTTAAATGCTTGTGAGTGACTATCTAAGATACTCCACTGGTCTCACCCCATCTGGAACAAGGGAGAATGAAAAACACCAAAGACACAAGGGAAAGATTAGTCCAAAGGACTAATGGACCACAACTACCACAGCCTCCACCAGACTGAGTTCAGCAGAACTAGATGGCGCCCGGCTACCACCACTGACTGCTCTGACAGGGGTCACAGTAGAGGGTCCCAGTCAGAGCTGGAGAAAAATGGAGAACAAAATTCTAACTCAGAAAAAAAGACCAGACTTACTGGCCTGACAGAGACTGAAGAAACCCGTAGATTATGGCCCCTGGACACACTTTTAGGTCAGTAATGAAGTCACTCCTGAGGTTCATCCTTCAGCCAAAGATTAGACAGGCCGATAAAACAAAACGAGACTAAAGGGGCACACCAGCCCAGGGGCAAGTACTAGAAGGCAAGAGAGGACAGGAAAGCTGGTAATAGGGAACCCAAACTCAAGAAGGGAGAGTGTTGACATGTCGTGGGGTAGGTAACCAATGTCACAGAACAATATGTGTACTAATTGTTTAATGAGAAGCTAGTTCTGTAAACTTTCATCTAAAGTACAATAAAAATAAAAATAAAAGAATAAAATGTCAGGTCTTCAAAAACAAATCTGTATTTTGTCTTGATCCTTGGGATTTTTCTGGCTTTCCTTCTTAAGAATAATTCCACTTGCAAAGTATGAGTTGTATATTTAGACACTTGTTATGAATCTGAATATTGTGTCCTGGTGGGGGAGTGACAATTGTCCCTTATACTGAAGACTCCATGGCTTATTGAGAATGGCTGGGAATTCCTAAGAAGCACACATTCTAGCCCTTCTTTCTTCATGCGAGGTGTGTGTATGATGCTCCTATCCTGAAATAGTGTGTGCTCAGCATAGTGTACCACTTGCAAACAGAACAGCTGTTGACTCCCTTGCCAGACTCCCAAACAGTAAACAAAGAGAACAGGGAATGGATTTGAGAGGTGAATCTCTCATCTTGGCTGAATTTTCTGTGTGGGTATCTGAAAGAATAACAGAGTTTTTGTGGTTTAGAAGTTCAACTTACCTGTGTATGCAATCAAAGGCCTAGTTCCCAGGAATATGGCCTGCAACTGTGTGTCTGAACTAAAACCAAGGCTAAGCATCCAACATGTGCCAACATGAGCTGCCTGTGATTTAAGTCCAGATAATTGGTGTCAGGTGAAGGAGTGACGTTTTAACCTTGCAAGATAAGGCAAAGTAGTCCTCACATATTTTGCTCTTCTTTATTACAGGACATCTGTGAAGATATCTCTGATCATGTTGAACAAATCCATGCCCTCCTAGAAACAGAGTTCTCCCTAAAGCTGCTGTCTTACTCTGTCAACGTGATTGTGGACATCCACGCGGTGCAGCTCCTCTGGCACCAGCTCCGAGTCTCGGTGCTGGTTCTGCGGGAGCGCATTCTGCAAGGTCTGCAGGACGCCAATGGGAACTACACCAGGCAGACGGACATTCTGCAAGCTTTCTCTGAAGAGACAAAGGAAGTGAGTACTCTCTTTGAAGCCAAGTAATTGTTAATTGTCACCATTTGAGAATGTTTCAGTTCTGAGTCATGGAATGGGAATTCTTTGTGGGTAAATAAGTGAGTCTCCGTTCAATTATTTAATAGATATTTACTGAGCCCTTACTATGTGCCAGGCACTAGGTGCTAAGAATATAATAGTGATCAAGACATGGTTTCTGCCTTCAAAGAACTGAGAGTCTAGTGGGGATAGAGACAAGTGAACAGATGTTCAGGCCAGGTAACAACAGGTCTATATGATGTTATTGGAGGACAGAGAAGGGGCACCAGATTCAGACTGTGAAGGCTTTCCAGAAAAAGTGAGTCTAACCTGAGACCTGAGGGAGAATTAGACTGGTGAACGGAGGTAGAAAATATTCTAGACAGAGGGAATGGCATTCTCAAAGACCCAGATGTGAGAGAGAGAATGATATGGTCAGAGAGGTATAGGTGTGACTGGAGCAAAAAGTTCTAGGGACCAGGATGGAGGAGTTAGTAATACATAATCAGGCATCAGATCATGAAGATAGAAAACTTTTAAAGCTATATTAAGAAAATTGGATTTTATTTTGAGGACAACAGAAAGTTATTGAAGGATTTGTTCAAAGAACTTGCATGATTAGATTCATGCTTTAGAACAATCATTCTGGGTGCAGTGAGTCAAATGGATGTTAGAATGTTATGCAACCAATTTATTTAGATTTTCCTTACCTTAAGAGTAGTTTAAAGAGTTTGTTGTTCTTTTTTTTTTTTTTTTTTAATCATGTGTAGACTCATTTAGTTTATTGTAAGGTAGTCAGGCAAGGCACAAGGTCTTATCACACGACATTCAATTAGGACCGGAGAATCAGGACAATATAAGGTTAATTCAATGGTTAGAGTCCAAATCTTTAGACTTCAGGCATGTAACTTTAATAAGAGGTCTCAGGAGGAAGGCTTGACTAGGGCTCATGCTCAACAGAGGTCCCTTGTAGGTGGGGTTTGAGGTTGGAAGTGCTGGGCAAAGTCTCAGCCATCTTCCCTTGCAGGATCTCAGTCTTTGGAGAGTGTTAGAGTCTAGATAGAGATGTTCCACCTCTGCTGTCTCTCGTTCAGTGAGCTGAAGTCCAGGGTTTATATGTGGTTTTATCTGGACTCGCAGCTAAGGTCTATATGATGTCGTGTCTAACAAAGACTAGTGTGTTACCTCTTCTTTTCAGAGTTAGAGATTAGCTGTAGGTTGCATCTTCTCTTTAACGTTAGATATTGGGGAGGTTGTTTTCTACTTATTTATGTCTTAAGGCCAATTTACAGAAATTTAGCTATATGTTACATTTTCTTTTATCACAGCATGCTCGTGCAAGGCCAAATTAGAAAGGTTGTTTATAGCATACTTTTATATCTTAGATCATCTAAATTCACATTATGAGTGACTTATGCATATGTGGTTTGAGAGTATTATAAAAGCATACATAACAACATGAATATTATTCCTATTATTTCATTGAACAAGGGTGATTTTTCTCACTTTTTATTGGCACACTGAGTTAGTTTAACAACATATCTGAAAATAAAATATAGGAAATCCACCCACAATGATTCATCTGTAAATGCCCTCTGTTTCCAACGCTCAGTAAATGTTGTGCATCTTAGATTGCTCTTCAGCTCTGACCTTCCTGTTGCTGTTGTAGCCCTATCTGTTTTGGCTGCATAGGAGGCAACCAGATGTGGATATCAGAGGTTACCCTCCTGGGATTCCAGGTGGACCCAGCACTGGAGTATTTCCTCTTTGGGCTCTTCTCCCCGTTCTACCCTTCACTCTGCTGGAGAACAGGACCATACTGGGGTGCATCTGTCTGGACCCCAGACTGCACACCCTATGTACTTCTTCCTCTCACACCTGGCAGTCATCAACATGCCCTATGCCTCCAACAATGTCCCCAAGATGTTGGCAACCTTCTGAGCAAGAAATAAACCCTTCTCTTTGTCCCTTGCATTATGCAGACATTTTTGTATCTGAATTTTGCATACACTGAGTGCCTGATTTTGGTAGTAATGTCCTATGATTGGTATGTGACCATCTGCCACTGCCTACATTACACTGTCATCATGAGCTGCAGGGTCTCCATCACCCTGGCTGTCACTACCTGGGCATTTAGCTTCCTCCTGGTCCTAGTCTCTGTTGTTCTCATCCTGAGGCTTCCCCTCTGTGGAACTCATCAGCTGTGTTGTTGTTATTATGTATTTTTTTTTTTTTTTGTGCTTTAGGTGAAAGTTTACAGAGCAAATTAGTTTCCCATGCGATAGTTTATACATAAAGTGTTTCATGACCTTGGTTTCATTCCCCACAATGTGTCAGCACGTTCCCCATTTCTACCCAGCTTTCTCCATTTTCTTTCTTCCTGATTATCTATCCCTTCCTGTGTTCTCATCTTATAATTGATTGTTCTAAGGAGTACGTTCCTCTTGAGTGTTATTGTTTATTTTATGCACCTGTTTATTATTTGGCTGTGAGGTAGTCCCTGGGAATGGCTTTGTTTTCAGATCAGAAGGGTATCTTAGGGCTGGAGGTTCCTCCAGTCTCTGTCTCTTGTTATTTTTTATGGGTAGCTTAGAATGGGCACTCTGTAAATTTGAATCCAAATGGACTCTCTCCTTCCCAAATAAAATTGACATATATTTATAGAGCAAAGCATTGGGCTAGCTAAGCAGGGGCTATATGTGGATACCATATATGGATACATTGTGTGTGTGTGTGTGTGTGTGTGTGTGTGTATCTACATGGTCCGTTGGCTCTTGAAACAGTACAGTACTGTAGTATTTGTTTTGTGGACAATATATATTCCAGAAGTTTATAAGGCACTAATATAACTAAGTTTAAAAAGCCTTATAGAGTATTGTACAACTCATTAATTTATTAATTTATGAAGGTTTCAATGGCTCCAACATTATCAACAACACAAATCTGTACCAATCCTCATAAATATCATGTACCTTGATTTATACTTGTTAATTATTGCTTTCAAAACAAAGAGGCTCTTGCTGTGGCAAACTCTGCAGAGTCTGGAAGTCTATGGAAATCAAAATCTATTAGGTTTCCCCTAACTTTAAGTTTCCATCTGGTGAGGTCCGTGTGTATAGTCACAGTTTATGCTGGTGAAAAAAAGGTATTTGCAATGAAGAAGTCATTGGTCTTGCAAAATTCAATCATGGGATGTCTGGCATCATTTCTATCACCAAGGCCATATTTTCCAACTTTCGTATTCCAGTCACCAGTAATTATCAGTGCATGTTCAGTCAAGTTGAGACTGCAGAAGTTGGTAAAAATCTTCAATTTCTTCATCTTTGCCTTAGTGGTTGGTGCATAAATTTGAATAATAGTCATTTTAACTGATCTTCCTTGTAGGCATATGGATATTATCCTATCACTGACAGCGTTGTACTTCAGGATAGATTTTGAAATGTTCTTTTTGACGGTGAATGCAACGCCATTCCTCTTCAAGTTATCATTCCCGGCATAGTAGACCATATGATCGTCCAATTCAAAATGACCAATACCAGTCCATTCCAGTTCACTAATGCCTAGGATATCAATCTTTATGTGTTCCATTTCATTTTTGAAAATGTCCAATTTTTCTAGATTCATACTTCATACATTCCAGGTTCCGATTATTAATGGATGTGTGCAGCTGTTTCTTCTCATTTTGAGTCCTGCCACATCAGCAAATGAAGGTCCCGAAAGCTTGACTCCATCCACATCACTAAGGTCAACTCTACTTTGAGGAGACAGCGCTTCCCCAGTTGTATTTTGAGTGACTTCCAACCTGAGGGGCTCATCTTCCAGCACTATATCAGACGTGTTATGTTGCTATTTATAAGATTTTCCTGGCTAATTCTTTTCAGAAGTAAACCGCCGGGTCCTTCTTCTTAGTCTGGAAATTCAGCTGAAACCTGCCCACCATGGGCGACCCTGCTGGTATCTGAATACCAGTGGCATAGCTTCCAGCATCACAGCAACACACAAGCCCCCACAATATGACAAACTGACAGATGCATTTTATTGACTATGCTAAGGCATTCGACTGTGTGGATCATAACAAATTATGGATAACATTGTGGAGAATGGGAATTCCAGAACACTTAATTGTGCTCATGAGGAATCTGTAAATGGATCAAGAAGCAGTCGTTCGAACAGAACAAGGGGGTACTGCACGGTTTAAAGTCAGGGAAGGTGTGTGTCAGGGTTGTACCCTTTCACCGTACCTATTCAATCTGTATGCTGAGCAAATATTCTGAGAAGCTGGACTGTATGAAGAAGAACAGGGCATCAGGATTGGAGGAAGACTTATTAACAACCTGCGTTATGCAGATGATACAACCTTGCTTGCTGAAAGTGAAGAGGACTTGAGGCACTTACTGATGAAGATCAAAGACTACAGCCTTCAGTATGGATTACACCTCAACATAAAGAAAACAGAAATCCTCACAACTGGACCAATAAGCAACATAATGATAAAAGGAGAAAAGATTGAGGTTGTCAAGGATTTCATTTTACTTGGATCCACAATCAGCACCCATTGAAGCAGCAGTCAAGAAATTAAACGATGCATTGCATTGGGCAAATCTGCTGCAAAAGACCTCTTTAAAGTGTTGAAAAACAAAGATGTTACCTTGAGGACTAAGATGTGCCTGACCCAAGCCATGGTGTTTTCAGTCGTCTCATAGGGATGCGAAAGGTGGACAGTGAATAAGGAAGACAGAAGAAGAATTGAAGCCTTTGAATTGTGGTGTTGGTGAAGAATATTGAATATACCATGGACTGCCAAAAGAATGAACAAATCTGTCTTAGAAATAGTACAAACAGAATGTTCCTTAGAAGCAAGGATGACAGCAAGGTTACAGCTCACATACTTTGGACATGTTATCAGGAGGGATCAGTCCCTGGAGAAGGACGCCATCCTTGGTAAAGTAGGGCGTCAGCGGAAAAGAGGAAGACCCTCAATG